GAGAGACTCACACTGCATGGTTGTATACCACATACTTTTTTTGCTTGCTTCTTTCGTCAAAATATTCTTTAGAAATTGTTGTAAGAATGAATTTTATGACTGTTAAGCTTATTATAAATTATCAGTGTAGTGGAGGTGTAAGAATATCCACTACCCCATATCATCCCGTAAGTGTCGTAAGAGATAACAAAGTGAAACAAATCAGTAGGTCTTAATAAAGACTTATATTAAAAAACTGGTGTTGCCAAACCGCTTTGAGCCCCCTATGAGACAATCAATGGGGTTATCCTATGTTCAACAATGGACTTTAATAGGCTGTAATTATTTTTTATATAGGAGAGGGGGCAAACGAGCATGCGGCTCACCTGATGGTAAGTGACTACCGCCGCCCATGAACAACCGCAACACCAGGGGAACCAGGGGAATTGCAGATGCGTTGCCGGCCTCTTAAAAAGGAGTAGGCTCTTTTCTTGAAGGTCCCTAAGTCGTATCGGTCCGGTAAAATCGCTGATGGTAATCGATTCCACAAGGAAGTAGTGCGAAGAAGAAAACATCTTCTAAATCGCACCATGGTGGACCGCCAATCATCCAGATCGTGTGGATGATATCGGGAGTTCTGCCGCGATGTGCGTTCGTGAAATTTGGCGACTGGGATCAATCCGAACAATTCCTCAGAGCACTCCTCGTGGTAGATGCGAAAGAAAATGCAAAGGGATGCAACATCTCTTCGCAGTGTCAATGAATCGGGAAAGGACTCGGTCGTCGACGATTCGAGCCGCTCTGCGCTGGATGCGGTCAAGTGGAAGGAGCTGGCACTGGGGAGCCCCTGCCCAGAGATGGGAACAGTATTCCATGTGAGGCCGAACCTGCGCCTTGTAAAGTTGCAGGCGGTGTGCCGGCATTCTACTTAGAGGCCAATTTTTCCTTCTCTTCCAAGTGACCACGAAACTGCACATCACTCGATATGTCGAATCCGAGGATTCCGATACTGGCTGAGGCAAGAAGGGGAGTGCCTTGAAACTGAGGAGATACGAAAAAGGGGTTCTTTTTAGCGATAAACGCGCAAACTTGTGTCTTCTGAGGATTAAACTGGACTAGATTTAGTCGCCCCCAATCTGAGACTTTGTTCAGCAAAGACTCGACATCAGACACAAGTTTGTTCCGGTACTCGGCGACGTTTTCCCGAGAAAAATTTTCACGGCCGGTGTATAGAACATCACCAGTGCTGTCATCCGCATAGCAATGAATGTTACCAGTTAGCAACATATCATTGATATGCAAGAAGAAACAGCGTGTGGACACAGCCTTGTGGAACACCAGCGTTAATAGTCTGTAATGGATGTATGTATAGAAGATAATCTACCAGGAGCACATGACCAACTGAGAGGTGAAATTATAAAATATACAGTAACATTACAACTATGACAAAATATCCTCTATGGGGCAATCTATTGGGGAGGCCTATGTTCAGCAGTGGACTTTAACAGACTAACGGTAGCGGTAACGGTAAACGAGACGATTATCCGCCGTCTGTCGGAGGCCATTAGGTTTTTCTGTCTATCTATATAGTCGCCTCTCACGACGTCCACGGCACGAACTTGGGTATTGGATTCTGTCACCATTAAATACTATTAGATACGCATCATCATCATCATCATCATTACAGCCCTTCAGAAATCCACTGTTGAACATAGGCCTCCCATTACAAATACCAAAGCACGGTCCAAATCCACCTGCATCCATCGACTTCCTGCATATCTCCAGGTCGTCACTCCATCTAGTTTCTTCTTTTTTCACTGGAATTTTCTCCTGTATCGTGCACAAATTGCATAAGATCAAACATCCAGACCCGGAAAAATTATTTGTAGGCCATGCAAATACTAACTTGTTCCGTGCGGGATTCGCACCCGCGCGGTCCCCAGCGCTGCAACTCATGGCTAAATCACTGCGTCACGGAGCCGTCATAACTAGTGAGGGCGGCCTTACATGTCGCCTACCGGCACGAGGCTGCCACTCGACCTTTCTTTTCTATTATATACGCATAGTTTAAATAAATTTCAATTATTAAAATAAAACCAAGAATAATTCAAAATATTTTTAATCAGAGCACTAAAATAACATCATATTATGTAAGTACTAAAGTTATATAGTACCGCACTGAGAATCAATAATGATAGCAGGTTATCACAGTCACATATACTGCAATTTGAGTATAGACGTACATAAATAAATAAACACAAAAAATGTAGAAGTTTGCAAAGCATATTGATGTTTTTGATATATTTTTAAATTGTAATACGCGTTTAATGAAAAAGGAGTTATAATTTACGTTTAAGATTTAGTACCTACCAAAAAAACAAAATAGAACAGAGTAATCTTTGAGCTGACCACTGTCGATGGCTAAGTAAGTCCAATGTTGCAAATTGTGGGACACTTGCGAAATGAATTTTGTATTTTTGAAAACACGCCGCAACAATTTAACATTAGAAAAGTTATTTTTAAGCTTTTTAAAATAGCAATAAACTTAAACGTATAAAAAAAGTTAAAGTTACAGCCTAAATACGTTCCACTGCTGGGCACATTCCTCCTCTCATATTTGAGAGTGTTTTAGGGCAAGGAAATGTCCGCCGCACTGCCACAATGCATGTTGGCGAACTTCACATGTCTTCGAAATATTTTTTCTTATTTCTCAGACATGCAGGTTTCCCTACCATGTTTTCCTTCAATGCCGAGCACGTGGTAAATCAGCACTTAAAATTTCAATTAAGAAATCAATTGGTGCCGGCAGGATCCAGCCTTCAAACCTATAATAACCCTGAAATAGGAAATAAATAGGTAGCGTGGGTATAAAAATACATTATTACAAAGGTTGTAAATTTTTGATAACACACAATAAGTTAAATTAAATTTTAATTTGGTGTCGATATAAAACCTATTTTTAAATTTACCTAATATATAAAGAACGTATTTAATTATATATTCAAATATCATACTTTATATGTTTTTAACGAAACATACCTTTGGTTGAATAATAAGGTATACAGATTCAGGTTATATAAAATTATTAGACCTAAAGCTACAATTACATGTATCAGTACAAATACTAAAAATACGTTAAATAAAATAAATTACTTAAAATGACGTGTAAGGCGAATATATATAGGCTGGTGATCATTTCAAACTTTGTGTTGGGTCACCACCAACACGCTTGTCCAGTGTAGTGTTAAATATATAATTTGACGGCTCCGTGGCGCAGTAGTTTAGAAAGGAATTGCAACGTTAATAGCCGCGGGTTGGAATCCCGCACGGAACATGTATTTGTATGGCCTACAAATAATTGTTCCGGGTCTGGATGTTTGTCCTTGTAAAAATTATGTATGTAAACTTCCCCCATGATACAAGAGAAAATCCTTGCGTGCAGGTAACTTTTTATTAAAAAAAGTAGGGTTATGTCCTACATATTGTCCTACAGTTGCGCACAGGCATCTTCTAATTTCTGTGTGGAATATGGGGCAAAATACCCGCAGCACTAAATAATTAATAAATTGTTTATAAAGGTTTTCCTAACGATGTGTTGCACCCAATTTTCTCAGCTTACTCCGAAGGCTGACTTCTAGAGAATATGTGAAAATAAACCTTAAATAAATAAATAAATAAATCAGTACTTAAATTTGTAGTAACTAAACAACTTCATTAATGCCGGAGGGCATTGAACCTGGGTTGGTCGTGTATTGTAAAATTCACGCGCTTAGCTAGCACACTTCAACCTGATGAATGGACAAATCTTAGCAATGCTCGCCTGCTAGCGTGTTGTTTGATAGGTTTATGTTCAACCATCACCATACCATTCAAAGGTTCGCTCTGTATAAAGTTATAGTAAGTCAACATGTATTAAACTATTGTGCCATTTGCCAAACGATTGTGCCAAAAATGCAAGTGACGATGATTTTCTACCGACTTCAAAAAGGAGGTACTCAATTCGACTGTATGTTTTTTTAAGTGTGTTACCTCATAACTTTGTTCTACGTGAACCGATTCGATGATTCTTTTTTTATTTGAAAGAAGTAAATAGATAGAAATAAAAAGCTTGATCAAGTTCTGACCAATAGTTTTTGAGTTATCCTTAATAATATATATTGAAGTCGGTTGTAAAAGAAATAATTTTTAATTATTGTTATATTTGTACGAGATAAAAATGGAACTGCAGAAATTACATTCCAATCCTTGTAAACTTAATACTCCCACTTCCTCGCTTGTTTATCATCAGGTTGAAAACTAGATTTTTCTTTCATAAATTTGATATGTTATCTGTGTAGATTACAGCCTATCAAAAGTCCGCTACTGAACCATGGAGTATAGAGTAGAAGGAGAACCATCTGATATGGGGGAAAGTTGAAAAAGTGTCCAACTGTATACTGAAAATAGAGGTTCGAAAACCTACCACAATAGCGCTGGCGTCTGAAAAACTACAGTATGAATATACCTGTTGTAGACGGAGTGAAGTCAACTGAATTAAAAGTATTTAAAAATTTTCATACGTAGTACAAATCCAAAAGACCAATCCGGTCCTTGTTTATTTCTCCATCTTATTCTATTTACTTTTGGCGCTTTTTTTTAATTTATCCTTTGCTACCGCAGCGCCACCCTTTTTGGACGCGTTTTTACGGACACTTATTCTTATACAGAGACGGTCCTCCTTCTACTCTATACTCCATGTGCTGAACATATGCTTCTACCATAGGGGGGGGGGGGAATATTTGCCATAATTGCCACGTTCGGCAAGCGGAGCAGTAGCTTTTTTTATTAATTTGAGTTGTTTTCGCAGAGACGCTGCTGTCCATCTCCCATTTTATTTTCATCTATAAACTCTTACAACACCCACGGTAAGATTAAGAGTTAGTGGATATTCATACACCGTTGTTTCGGCAGCGGGCTTTAAAAGTCTGTTGACGATAGTGACTTATAATTACTAACAATAAATATCCTAAATTATTTGGTATTTAGCTTGTGTTTTCGTATGGCATATAGCTGTTGTAGTCAGCGTCGTAAGCCCTGCGATATCCTCCATGGTGGCCGTGATCGTGTTCATGACGCTCCTCGTGACTGTGGGAGTGGTGATGAGAGACTTCTGGTTTGGTGATGATTTCATATGTAGTGGATTTGTGACCTCCGTGACCCTTGAGTCCGACTAGTGCCGTCAGCAGGAGTGACATTAACGCAGCCATTAACGCCTTTCCCGCCAATAAAGCTAATGCCCCCATAGCGGCCGCAGCTAATGCACCTGGACATAAAACATATTATTTTATAATGTATCTTTAAAATTTATTTACATAATATAATATATAATATTTTATTATATACTATATTAAAACTGTAATAAAAAAAAACTAAAACTAGTAACTTAATTATCATACAGTCCTACTCCCCGCGGTATCATGCCAAGAACGCTGGCTGCGTTTCCCCGCTGAATGGCTATACTTAGCCTTTGAGCGAGAAAAGAACCAGCTCTCTTATATCAATTATCTTATCACTATCTATTGTCTTTTATTATATTATCTTATTATAATTGAAATAAAAAATATAAAGGTCTCAAAAATGTAATCTATAGGATCACGACATATTAAAATATATTATATAATATATATTAAAATTTAAAAAAACTTAAAAAAACACGCATTCATCGTCAACTGTGACGATTCTAGAGAGAATTATCCTGGTGATCCTGATGAAGATACTTGGATAAAGTTATTAAATTATTGTATTGTCATCGGTTCTTGATACGAGTGTAAATTTTCAAATCAATCGGCTGTCTACAAGTGATTAATAAAAGCATATTTAAAAAAAAATCAAAAATTTGGTTAAGGAACCTAGAAAATATCATAGTTTAAAGACAGTACTTTAAACTGTGGAAATATTTTTTTTATAGGATAGGGTGACAAACGAGCACACAGTCCACCTGATGGTAAGTGGTTACTGTGACCCATAGACATCTACATCTATCCTCAATAAAGACTCAAAATGCAGATGCGTTGTCACCCGTGAGGACTAAGATGGAATGCCTCTTTTCCAGTAAAAGGGGTCACCGGTTCTCTACACTCACCATACGAAACACAGCAGTGTTAAGCTGCTATTTTACAGTTTATATAGTGTAATTGAATATAAAATAAAATAGTTATTGTCTAATTTATGAAATCCTAAAAATTTTGGAATCGGGTATAAAGTAACAAAACTTTGAATAAATTAATTGTTACTCGTAGTTGTTCGTTTTTAACTAAAAATGCTGAATAATTAATTAAAGTTAATTAAAAAAAAATGTAATTAGAGGTTACCAAGAGCACTATAATTACTGTAAATATAAAGTTATAAGAAATATATTTACAAAATACGATATGTTTTGGCAACACGTCAAGTTTTAGTTCGCTACGGATAAAATCTTAAAGCATATTTCTAAAAGGAACTTGCTAATTATTTGGTTTGGGATTTCAGGTTTCTAACAGCTTTTGCTGTCGCACGGATGGGCCGGCTCGAACCGGGGTGGTACCACGACCTCATAGAATACCAGCGTGAAGTAGAGGTTTACCTCTGCGTTTCGCTTGGTGAGTGCAGGTGGCCGGAGGCCCTTTTTACTGGAAATGAGGCATTCCATCTTAGTCCTCACGGGTGACAACGCATCTGCATTTTGATTTGTAATAGAGGATAGATGTAGATGTCTATGGGCCGCAGCAACCACTTACCATCAGGTGGACTGTGTGCTTGTTTGTCACCCTTATCCTATAAAAAAAAGGTAAAATTTTTTATTGGTTCTTAATGTCTGGTCGAAGTGTTTCGCCGAAGTACTCAGTGAAGTTAGCAGAGTCTCATGAAGTGTCTTTATAGATTAGTGTATCTTCACATAGATCACGTTAAGCGCGTTCCACTATAATAATAATGTCCTCCAGATCGAATTTCGGTCACGGCGGCCAGCCTCAACGGAAACTAGCCATCGGCACAGGACAGGATTATAGTGCCCAAGTGTATGCGCAAGCACAGGTGCACTCTCTACCCGATGGGACGGTAAACCGACACGACCGGAGAGAGATCAGGCGGAGGACCAACTTTACGTGCTTTCCGAGGCACGGGGTTGAGACACCGCCAACTTCCTGACTCCGGGCAGCTACTGACAGTTTCTTGATGGAAAAGCTCAATAACTGATTTGTTTGGCCCGACCCGGGATTCGAACCCGGAGCCTCATGATCAGCAGTCGCACTACTACAACCACTAGACCATTGAGGCAGTCCCGTTCCACTATACCTACATATTTTTTACGTGGTAGAGCCATGCTGCACCTATAATAGTGGTATAGTTGTATCAATTGTCCTGTGTTTCGTATGGTGAGTTTAGAGAACCGGAGACCCTTTTTACTGGAAACGAGGCATTCAATCTTAGTGATAAGGTGTCTGTATCTTGATTCGTAATCGAGGATAAATGTTTATTGCTGATGCCACAGCAACCACTTACCATCAGGTGGACTGTGTGCTCGCTTGTCACCTTTATTCTATAAAAAACACACGCTACTCTGAGGACGAAGGTGGAATACCTAATAGCTTGTAGTTATATAGTCACCCAGAGAGGTAGGCAGAGACTATGGACTTCCATTTGGCACGATCCTGACACACCACTCTCGCCTTCTCCACATGCATATACCTACGCATACATGCTCGTCGGTTAAGGGTACATTTACTTTGACCCATTTTCAATATATCGCCAATTTGGTCGATAAACTTTTGCTTAGGGCGTCCCTTCCCGACTTGTAAACATATTGGCTAACTACATCCTTCAGAGCAGAACTTGGCGGCAGAAATAGTGAAGAGTGGAACAGTGTGATACCTGCCCAGACAAACTTCTAGGCAATAAAGGAGCCATACCGCCTAGTAGAACACGTATTTCTAGGCACAGCATTAGTCCTACGAACTAGACTCGAACATTTATAATTAAAAATTAAAAATTTTGTACAACCGACTTCAATATAAATTATTAAGAATAACTCAAAAACTATTAGTCAGCTCTAGGTCAAATTTATATGGGACTACATAAAAGTATCAGCTATCAAATAAAAAAAGAATTATCAAAATCGGTTCACACAGAAAAAAGTTAGGAAGTAATATATATAATTAAAAACATACAGTTGAATTGAGTACGTCCTCCATTTTGAAATCTGTAGCAAATCAATATTCAGCGTACGACTTCCGAAGCCGTCCGCTAAACTCGTATCCTCGGCTAACTTTGTTTAACTTCGCGGGTAAAGTAGAAAGCAAATTATTGTTTAGTCTAGTCTATGAGTTCCTTGTTCATACTTACCCTTCATCATTAATGCAGCAGCAAGTAACGCACCACCGCCCCCTCCTTTGCCACCTCCCAAGCCTCCGTCTTTCTTGCGCCCAACGGACTCCCTATCTCCTTTCGCCATTTCCAGAGCCTCCTTCGATGTCTGCGGATCCAAGAGCTTGTATCTCAAAGAGTGTCCATCCAAGTAATCCTGAAGTCGATATACCAGGAATCGGTTCAGTTTTTCATCTGATTTTCCTGGGAACTGGCGGGATAGCTCCGCCGCCATTTCCTCAGGGCTTACGTTATTTGATGTTTGATTCTCCTTCACTATACTTAATCCAGGAAGCAGGGTGAGCTCATCGCGAGAGCTCAGGTCTTCCAAGAAGAAGAGTACTTGAATTTTTAGGCATTTGGCGCTTAGGCTACTGTTGCATTCCTTATGCAAGGATCTTGAGGTCCTCTCTGTAGTGTTTGTAACTTTATCCTTTTGGACTATGACGTTCGATTGAGTCCCATCAATGGAACCTTTTGAGTGGTATACACTGCACACCAACACAACAGCACAAGCGGTAGCAACACTGTTAAACATTTTGACACTGTTTGACTGCACCTCAGGATTTTGGTTTTAATGGCCGGTCAGATGCATTTCTATGGACGGTTCGAATGGACTGATACAAACTAAACGATCGTAATTTATTTTATACCTCTGGTTAGATGTAAAAAGTGAGCAATAGCCGGTGCAATTGTTAAAAAGAGCAATATTTTGCCGGAGTATTGTTCGCGGAGCGAGTCAACTGTTATAGTAAAAATAAACCATTAAAAGTGGATAGTGAAAAAGTAGAATTTCTCTCAGCATTTGCTTTTTAGATGAAAGTGTTACTAAAAATTTAAATTATTAAACATTTTCCTTCCTTAATTCAATATTTACGGATTGAGATGTTAAATTAGTTATGAAAAACCAATTCGCAACTAATAAAGACATTTATAATATTGATCATGTTTGTTATCTCAGATATAGATTATTTCTTTGTGGTTATAATTTTAGTTTTTATTTATACTATACCGTTAAGTTATAGCCTATTAAAATCCACTGCTGAACTGATATTCGCTATAGTTGCCACGCTTGGCAAGTAGGTTGGCTAAAGTTTTTTATTTTTAGTCGTTATAAGGAAGACGTTTCTGAACATCTATAGGTTTTTGTCCCTTTGTCGCCTTTTCCAACATGCATGGGTCCGTTGATCTTCTTACACTGGCACTACACCTTACAAACGTCCGGAGTAAGAGACGATAATATTCTGATAGAACTATAAGACACAGTTTGAAGGTACTGCTCCCGAACAAGATACATACAACATACAACGTTTTTAGATGATACTTCCCATATTGTTTACGGTAAAGCATTCCAAAGCAAATGCTTGAGGTGATGTAGACACTGGTCGTGGACGGAATAGGGGAGATATTCCGGCGGGCAAGGTGATCAGCCCGGGGAGCGGCCAACACTTTTGGTTTTTTTTTCTGAAAGTGTATTCTGTTGGCCTTGCGGCCTTTACAGCGTTTTTTTTTTATATGATAAGGGTGACAAACGAGCACACAGTCCACCTGATGGTAAGTGGTTGCTGCGGCCCATAGACATCTACATCTATCCTCTATTACAAATCAAAATGTAGATGCGTTGTCACCCGTGAGGACTAAGATGGAATGCCTCATTTCCAGTAAAAAGGGCCTCCGGCCACCTGCACTCACCAAACGAAACGCAGAAGTAAACCTCTACTTCACGCTGGTTTTCTGTGAGGTCGTGGTACCACCCCGGTTCGAGCCGTCCCATCCGTGCGACAGCAAAAGCTGCCGCGTGGCTCTACCACTGTTAAAAATGTTCGAAATAGGCTCGTAAGCCAATAAATACGAGTTATTGAGTTGCACTCTCACTACACTGCAGTCGCGTGGCACCACAACCCCTGCTTTTGGAGTGAGGCTCCTCTAGCTAGGGGGGGGGGGGGCTCGATGTGATTCAAGGGCCCCTCCCCTATCTCGGCTTGAACCACTATCGCAATGTGGAAAAACGGGTCGAAAACTAAAAAGGCCCATGTCACGGGTAAACCTAGTATACGGGGTGTGTCTGTGACCTCGGCGGTGTGTTCTATTCTTATTGTACTAGAGTAGTGTCTGAATGTGTGTGTGTATCAGTGTTTGATGATCGGATTCTCTCTCCTGTGGGAGAGAGATCCGATTATTCATGGAAGAGATCTCATAGGGTCAAGAAGGACGTTCGGGACGTCTCCTGGATGTGGCTCTCTCAGGGAAATAGGAAGCCGCCTCTGCAACTAACGGTTACATTCTTTAATCGAATATGTATACGCCCCGTTGTGACATACACACCTTTGTATGTCAATGGGGCGTATACAGGTTTTGTAAAGATGCAGTTTGTGTCGGACAGCTTACTACGTATGTGAGTTAATGCGAAAAGACGAAAAGTTTGGTGTTATTCTATATATACCACAGTACTTGGGAACTTTGATAGCGCGATGTAGGCTTCGGTGCGTTTTGCTTGTGGCGCGACGATAGCACCGCCATAACACTATTCGGCGTTTTTATAATCCACTACCCCAAACCATTCCGTAGGTGTTGTCAAGAGGGGGCAGAAGTAAATGAAGCAGGAAATTGGCAGCAGCGTCTTTCTTATGGAAACACAAAATAATAAAAAACTGCGGTTGCCAACCGCAAGCGTCAAGCGCGGGAAAGACGGCAAATATTCATCCATATGAGCCAGACTATGGCAGAAGCTTAGCAGTGGTCTTTTGAAACGCTGTAATGAATGAATTCATTATACGTGATACCATGCTGAAGCTATATTAGTAGTATAGTTGTAGCACAAATGGGTCGGCTCGGAAAAGAGGCACTCCATCCTAGTCCTCACGGGTGACGACGCATCTGCTTTTTTATTCTTTATTGAGGATAAATGTAGATGTCTATGGGTCACAGCAACCACTTACCATCAGGTAGACTGTGTGCTCGTTTGTCACCCTATCCTATAAAAAAAAATATCTAGAATTATCTTTAAAGAACGTGCTGACGATCATGTAAACATAGATATGGACAGTTGTGGGAACGAGATTTTTAATTTTTATTTAATTTATTTATCACATTACAGTACAATCATAAGTTTATAGAAACTTTACCGTGTACCGGTATCGCCGACAATAATAAATATGGGGGTATAGTAAAAATTTACACGTATTAATTATTCAATGCGTTACTTGCTATTACAGAATGTATTGCTCATGGATCGTTTATATACAGGACGTTTGTTTTAAAGAGTAATTGGAATATTTATTAGTAATACATATTATGTATAATTTAAATTATTTCTGATGCAATACATAAAGTAGTTAACACGTGATAGAGCCATGCTGCAGCTATATTATAGTTGTAGCACGAATGGGTCGGTTCGACCGGGTAGGGGCCACGCTCTCACAGAATACCAGCGTAAAATAGCAGCTTAATGCTGTTGTGTTTTGTATAGTAAGTGTAATAAAGAACCGGAGACCCTTTTTGCTGGAAGAGAGGCATTCCATCTTAGTCCTCACGGCTGACAACACATCTGCATTTAGATTAGCAAACGACGATAGATGTAGATGTCTATGGGCCACGGCAACTACTTGCCAACGGATGGACTGTGTGCTCGCTTGTCACGCTTATCCTATAAAAAAAGTTTTTTAATTTTAATTTAATATTTTTTGACTCATTTCTGATTTTACAGATACAGCAGCATACCGCTGGTTAATTGGGTTAGGGATCATATATATTCTAAAGTAGCATAGCTTACCATTAAAATTATTATATTTAGGTAAGGATAATTAGGTTTTCTCGAGCTGCGAGTTATATATACTATTGATAAACTATTGGATTATTTTACGATGTCGAATATTAGTAATGCGGAACCCAAAACCATTAAACTACTTAACTTTCTCTGGTGGTTCATAATAAAAAAATAAAAAGTGCTAGGTTGGCGCTGAAAACGTTGAGGTTAGTGAGAGAACGAAAGTTAACGATTTTGTTTTCTTTTTGTCTATGGTCGTTTTATGTTTAAAATAATAAAAGAGTTTGAAATAATCTATGTAAGAATAATTCAAGATTCCTACCAATATTACATAGTCATATGCTCGTGGATGACGTTTACGACGACTATAGGAAGTGTATGGAAAATATTATAGCTTCTGAACGATGGCGGTATTTCCATAAAATTTATGTCATACATAAATTTCTAGGACCAGCAGGACTATGAAAGAACTTTTACGGGCTAATGACGAAGTAGAAGATTACATAATACATAGAGTAATTCTCTGTTGAAATATTACTTTTTGTTACCAAATCAAAAAATCGCGATCCACTCAACTTAAATCACTTCCACCATAATGATTTCTTATATTTACGCGAACACTACACATTGAATAAAACTATATTTACGGATTTTATCGCGTTTAATTTACTTATTTTAATTCCCGCAGTCTGCAGTCTGTGAACATGATCAAGCTCGTCCCCGCCATACATCAGATTTGATAGACCACAAATCCTCGCAAAAGAATACCGATTCTTACCAAGGATGATACGCGAGGCTATTGAAATTAAAAAAAAAAACATTCTAATTTCAATAGAGAAGATGGGTGCTGCCATCTCCTTGGGATCCTATAATTAACAAAATTAAATCCAAACCCAAGCATACCATTGCAAGACTTCAAGATACTGTAAGCTCATTCTGCGTAGATTGAACCAAAAATTAATATTCAAAAACTGCACGTAGCCCGGCTATGACATCGGGACGTCAAACATCTCAGTCCGCCCGTGACAATGGGTTGCCGTAAAGCACCCGAAACGTCGGGAAATAAAATAAGTAAATTAAACGCGATAAAATTCGTAAAATTAGTTTTATTCACTTCCACTGACTTTATATTACTAGTACATAATAAAAAAATTACACCAATAGCAAGAGGAGATTTCAATTATTACTATGACGTGGTTATAAGATTTTTTTTTATAGGATAAGGGTGACAAACGAGCACACAGTCCACCTGATGGTAAGTGGTTGCTGCGGCCCATAGACATCTACAACTATCCTCGTTTGCGAATCAAAATGCAAATGCGTTGTCACCCATGAGGACTAAGATGGAATGCCTCATTTGCAGTAAAATTATGTATTTCGATTATTATTAAAAAAAAGTTAATTGAAAATGATTTCACTTGGACGTCAGTTGGTCGGTCGTGAACACTTGAACACTCGTGAACACACATTAGATGTGTACAAGATATCTTTAGAAACACTGAACTTATCACTTTGATTTTTTTATTAGCCTTAGATTTTAATACTTAGGAAGCCTTAGTGAATTTCACTATTGTAAACCATCCCGTTCGGGGTGTGCACTTTTGGATTTTCAAATTTTTTGGTGTTTTTCTTGTAGTATATTTGGAAATGTAAATATATGCGATCGGTTAGGATGAGTGCCAGGTGATACAGGGATTACCCTAGTATGTAATATTAGACCTTAATATTCACCTCATTTTGGCGGACATAAAAACAATTGAAAAATGGCGGGA